AATCGAATTTCGGCAAAAAATCCGATCTGAGCATTAAGACCTGCAGTGTGAACGTAGTCTAAATGTGTGAAATCATGGATACTACAGTGACAGAATGAACTTTCTCGAACTGTTCTCTTCTCATGCACTTATTTGCTTAGCTGAACTGCCAATCAGAGTGGTCTCTCTCACCAATGAGGCCTGACCACCGACTTCAACACGTCAAATCGTCTGAAAAGCTGCAGACAGGGACCATCTAGTGCCAACGGTGTGGGACACACCAGGAGAATGAGCTGACAGACGAGCTCTGACAGACAATCTCTGACGGTCTGACGATGGCTGACAGCCAACTGTTGGCTTGTTGTGTCTCTGCCCTAAGACAGACTCGTAATCTCTGAGATGGTAGAACAACTACACAGGTCACTGGCGTGGCTTTGGGATCCTGTGGTTCCAACTACAAACGGCTGCTTTCAAACACATTCTGAAAAACCAATAAGAAATATTGTGAACACAACAGTGAAGAAGTGGATTATCCTGCAGCGTTTTGAGAAACGTTTACTTCATTCCCACCATGATTCTGATTCACAACTATAATCCATTGCAGGTGCCGACCACAGCTGCTGTACCTTCTGGTACATTCAATTTTGCTACTTTGCCCTTCAAATTTATAGGGCAAAGTTGTTGCAGTGTCAGCTGTTGTTGCATTATTCACTGTATGTGTAAAATCAATTTTGTAGTAGAAAATATTTTTATGCAAACCATGAAAGTACATTAACAAAACGTGCATTTCAAAATCTTACCAAATTTGTCATTATTACATAAGCTCAAAACAAGCTGCTCATAAAGTGGCAGTTCCTATGCTCCAGTGCAACTGCTCTTGTTTCAAAACAACAACTGAAATGATGATACATTATGATTAAGGTGCTGCATTTAATCATTAATTAGAATAATGTGAATATGGAGGTTGTACAGTGGTTGGCACAGTAGTCTCACAGTAAGAAGGCTCCAAGACCGAGTTCCGTGCAGTTTGCATGTTCTCCCTGTGCCTGCATAGGTTTTCTCCAGTAACCTCGCACAGTCAAAAGACGTGCAGGTCAAGTTGACTGGGGACTCTAAATTGATTTAGTGAGAGTTGGAGTGGTCGCCTGCCTCTGTGTGTCCAGCCCTGTGAAAGACCGGTGACCTGTCAACGGTGTATCACTCCTCCCGCCCAGTGTCAGGTGGGATAAACCCCCACCCCACGACCCTGTACAGGATAAGTAGGTGTAGCTAATAGATGGATTGATGCATGGAGAGTGTCCTGCCCACATGCTTCATTACTGCTTTCACCTCAGATCAACATCAAAGTGTAGTGCTAGTGATGTACAGGACACATTTTGTTAAAGACATTTCCTGAACGTACAGGGATGTTGACCTTGCTTATAGCACCAATCAGTGACAATGCAAATCCACTCCACATAATTTATGTTGCAATGCCATCGCACTACTACACTTTTACTTTGTCAATTTAAATGTGTTTTTCTTTCAGCTCAACAGCACAGAGACAGACTGCAATAATGATGTCACCGAGACACAAGTCCTGGAGCGGCTCCAACAGTGAATAATGCAACAACTGCTGAGACGCTACGACAGCAGCCATGGTGATTTGACTGAGATAGAAGCACATTTTCTGACTCATAGCTGTAAGGCTTAACATTCAAATTAAACTCCTTTGGATAAATAGTAATCAGCAGATGTCACCTGATGATATCATTATTTAGGCAGACTGAGTGTGTTTGTCAAGGCTGACTTCACTACCCAAAATAACCTGAATATGTTCAGGTGATTTAATGGGCTATAAATTGAAATGGGCTATACTGAAGTGAACAGACGGGTACCAACTGAAGAAAAACTTCAAGAAAATTGAGAAAAATAACAAATGTGAATATTTTTTATAAAGGGCATCACTCTCAACCAGGCCATACATTTCCTAATTTGGCCTCAATTTCATACATTTTCAGAGGTCACAAAGGTCACCAGACTGGGCACTAAGGCCTGAGCAGTGAAGTTACAAACTGTAAAAAGTACGGATACTTGTCAAACTATTTAAGGGAAATGTGCAGAGATATTTCATATTGCTACACTGGCAGTAGTAGGAACTGTGCACCTTTACTGTCATTTACATAGTAAATTGTGTACAGTAATTACATTAATCTGGCATCATGATGACAGAATGACCAGCATCACTTCTAGCATGATGAAAACTAAAATGGTTGTCAACTAAGGTTTTCACTTGTTTTGTTTTTTTTAAATTGTAATGGCAATTGTGAAAAGGTCATTTTATACAAATTCTCTCATTTTACAGTCTAACTTCTGCTTTCACATACAATGCACATTAAATTAGGCTACTTCTTACTGACAGTTTTAGTATTTTTTTTTTTAGCAAATGCACTACACTATTTCAAATAGCAGAGAAAACACTAAATTTCAACACCACATGTAGTGTTTTACAGCCTGAACTTATAGACAGAGTCAAATCCTTTATATCCTTTGGTCTGCTTACCCAGTAAAACCAAAGGAAACCTTACAGTATTTTACTTGTAACAATGCTAGCAGGATTACACTCTCTCTGAGCTAATAAATACCACATAGATGTAGCAAACTATACAGAAGTTCACCAAGTTCATAAAAATCCTGATGTTACCAAGCAAAGAGTGAATACCTTAAATTTTACAGCATATTCTGCCAACTTGCATGTAGCTTGCACAGAGTTTTTATGAGGAGCGCTCCCGGGTGAACAGTTTCAATAAGCTCATTGTTCTACTTGATACGTACATAAACACACACCTATGTGAGTGACTGAACATGAGCGATCATTTACAACAACTGCTCCTCAGATCTGATGGACTTGAGAAGATCTAAGTGAGTTAAGACTTCTGTCACAGTGGATGAGGACACATCGACCACTGTAGCTGTGTAACACTGTGTAATACAGAGCATCACGGCCATATGCCAAGGCAAGGACAGGCATGGCCATAGGGCTGTCATGAAACCTATTCCCTGATCTCAACCCAGCTGAATGCCTATGCTGCAGATTTTGGATGATGTGCTACAGACAGCACTCTCCACTAGAACAATATACAGTGCCTTGCGAAAGTATTCGGCCCCCTTGAACTTGGCGACCTTTTGCCACATTTCAGGCTTCAAACATAAAGATATAAAACTGTAATTTTTTGTGAAGAATCAACAACAAGTGGGACACAATCATGAAGTGGAACGAAATTTATTGGATATTTCAAACTTTTTTAACAAATAAAAAACTGAAAAATTGGCCGTGCAAAATTATTCAGCCCCCTTAAGTTAATACTTTGTAGCGCCACCTTTTGCTGCGATTACAGCTGTAAGTCACTTGGGGTATGTCTCTATCAGTTTTGCACATCAAGAGACTGAAATTTTTGCCCATTCCGCCTTGCAAAACAGCTCGAGCTCAGTGAGGTTGGATAGAGAGCGTTTGTGAACAGCAGTTTTCAGTTCTTCCCACAGATTCTCGATTGGATTCAGGTCTGGACTTTGACTTGGCCATTCTAACACCTGGATATGTTTATTTGTGAACCATTCCAATGTAGATTTTGCTTTATGTTTTGGATCATTGTCTTGTTGGAAGACAAATCTCCATCCCAGTCTCAGGTCTTTTGCAGACTCCATCAGGTTTCCTTCCAGAATGGTCCTGTATTTGGCTCCATCCATCTTCCCATCAATTTTAACCATCTTCCCTGTCCCTGCTGAAGAAAAGCAGGCCCAAACCAGGATGCTGCCACCACCATGTTTGACAGTGGGGATGGTGTGTTCAAGGTGATGAGCTGTGTTGCTTTTACGCCAAACACAACGTTTTGCATTGTTGCCAAAAAGTTCGATTTTGGTTTCATCTGACCAGAGCACCTTCTTCCACATGTTTGGTGTGTCTCCCAGGTGGCTTGTGGCAAACTTTAAACGACACTTTTTATGGATATCTTTAAGAAATGGCTTTCTTCTTGCCACTCTTCCATAAAGGCCAGATTTGTGCAGTATACGACTGATTGTTGTCCTATGGACAGAGTCTCCCACCTCAGCTGTAGATCTCTGCAGTTCATCCAGAGTGATCATGGGCCTCTTGGCTGCATCTCTGATCAGTCTTCTCCTTGTATGAGCTGAAAGTTTAGAGGGACGGCCAGGTCTTGGTAGATTTGCAGTGGTCTGATACTCCTTCCATTTCAATATTATCGCTTGCACAGTGCTCCTTGGGATGTTTAAAGCTTGGGAAATCTTTTTGTATCCAAATCCGGCTTTAAACTTCTCCACAACAGTATCTCGGACCTGCCTGGTGTGTTCCTTGTTCTTCATGATGCTCTCTGCGCTTTAAACAGACCTCTGAGACTATCACAGTGCAGGTGCATTTATACGGAGACTTGATTACACACAGGTGGATTCTATTTATCATCATTAGTCATTTAGGTCAACATTGGATCATTCAGAGATCCTCACTGAACTTCTGGAGAGAGTTTGCTGCACTGAAAGTAAAGGGGCTGAATAATTTTGCACGCCCAATTATTCAGTTTTTTATTTGTTAAAAAAGTTTGAAATATCCAATAAATTTCGTTCCACTTCATGATTGTGTCCCACTTGTTGTTGATTCTTCACAAAAAATTACAGTTTTATATCTTTATGTTTGAAGCCTGAAATGTGGCAAAAGGTCGCAAAGTTCAAGGGGGCTGAATACTTTCGCAAGGCACTGTATCAGCTGAATTCCGATTTACTTCATTAGTGTGTGTCAGCCAATAAAAAGACAAAAAAATAGTAGCACTGAAATAAAAATATATTTGCAGTAATTTTATAACAGTCTCAACTCAAAGTCTCTCCACTTAACAGTGCTTTGTTTCTCAGTCGTAAAATCTCCTGCCCAGTGACTATCTCCATGATTCTCTAACCAAATGTATGGGATATCTGTCAAAAATGTGTGTTCATGTAAGAAATTTATATCAGCTCATTTATCAGATTTTATCACCTCTGAAATATCAGTACTGGCGTTACATATCAGAGAAATCAGTTGACTGTAATGAAGGAAGCTCATTTTGTAGACTCTTGTTCAACCCTTCAAGGAGCACTGTGAGGAACACTGAAGCTCTTCTTCAAAGCTCGTGGAAGACCACCTTAGACCAGCCTCTCTTGTTTTAATTTGTGACCGCCATTTTAATTTCCTTCTGCAAACATCAGTTGCACAGACTGATTTAGCAAATGGGAGGACAGTGGTACAGCCACATTTGTTCTCAATGAATGTGAGGCTATTTTGTGTGCGCGCAATCTTTCCATTTAGCAGCATGTTCACCAGCACTGATGTAAATGAGCAGTGTTAACCTGAATACATGGCTGCTTGTATTGTACAGGTGTAGTGAGAGGGAGCTAGAAGAAAGTGTAAGTTTACAGTGAGTGAACCTTCTGCCAGTCAAATCATCTTTTATTTCATTCAGTTATTGAAGCATGGCTCAACCTGAAAGCCTATGAAGTCCATGACATTCTTCTCTGGTGAACAATGCGATTTACAAAGATCCTCTCCTTCATCAAACACATTATGGAGGTCTAAGATGACTAGCAGCTGCTACGCTGACAGCAGCACCCCAAATTTCTCCAACTGCTTTCTCCTGAAGTTACATTTCAGCTGCAGTTCCATCTGTCACAGTGGTAGTAAATCAGGCGATGAGAGTTTTTGTTAAAATTTCCATTCTCACTGTACTGCACAGGGGGAACTGTACAAAAACAGTTTTTTTAACTATTCTGTGCCATCCTTTCAATATTCAACAAAAGCTATTCTCTTTGTAGATTTAGGTACTGATCTGGGTCATTATCCAGATCCAATCATTTTTTAAAGGATTCTTCACCAGGGTGAGATAGGGCCAATTTCATTATTTTCACTTCTAAATCCATACATACCTACAATGGCTGGACAAAAACTGCACAATAAGATCTACCGCACACCAAAGTATGATCTGGATTCCAAGTAGTGGTCAGGTTTATACGGCTCATGGAAAACTTGCTACTGTGACACAACAAATAATGCAACAGACTTGCAACTAACACCAAATTGTAATTGAAACTTTGCTTATTCAGCAGAGGGTCGGCCTTTTTCTTCAACAAGGGGTGTGCAATGTGTAGCGGAAATGACTACACTTTATTCATATTAATTTTACAATTTTATATTTCAAATATTTTAATACTGTAATATCTTGTTAGAGTAGGGCACCAGGATCAATTTATGCCAGTCAAACATAAAATGGGTTTATTAATTCAGATTATTAATACGGTCTCGATCTGAATGCAGTGAATCCCACGGTTCATTGACCTATTTACTGGAAACAATACACACCAAAGATGACATGAGAAATGATAGCACTCTGGTGCCCTACTCTAACAAGGTAATACAATATTAAAATATTAGAAATATTAGATAAATATTCATAAGCATAGTCATTTCCACTACAGATATATATCATCGATGATAATATCTCAATTGTTGCTTTAATGATGTGTGAGCTAACAGGGTATTGCTTTACAAAATAATCAAAAACAAGCCCAGAGAGTCCACACGTTCACTGTGTCATGGTGCCTAGTAGCACAAACTATACTGCCTGTGGGCACTGAGTGTGCAAGTCGATGCTTGTCTCAGCAAACATTAGCGGAATCATTCCGCAAAACTACAGTGTACTGTTCTACTTCAGTGCTTCATTTTTAACTAAATAAGTAAAACCTGTTTTCCTTAAATCTTGTTTCCATTATTATCATTAGTAAGCAACAATTAATATGCTATTAACCAGAGCAAGCTAGTATAAGACTTTATCAAACACATTTTTGAAGGATGCAAAATACCATCTGTTTATTATCGGCAAAAATTCCAGAAAATGTTGATATCATTTTTTGTGTATATCTCATGCTCCTGTCTTCAAAACTTGCTGCCTTTGATCCTGAAGAAAATCGCCATTAGTGAATTCTAGTTTTCTTGAATAACTTTCAAACAATAATGATATTCATGTAATTTCAAATGCTAGGGACAGGTTTTCATAGTCAAGGAATCATATTATGAGGTCTACCATGGGAATGCTGATCTTAGATGGAATGGCATTATGGGGAAGCTGCCTTGGCAGAGGTGTGTGTTCTCTGAGTGCTGTCTAATTAGGATTCATATTGTATTGAATCCTGACCTATCAACAGGCAGACTAGGCCCACCATTACCTTGGCTAAATTTCACACACACACACGGAGCTTTAATGCCTTCATCTGTTGTTGCTTTCACTCTCTTTAGCCACGTTATCCTGTTCCCTGCCTCTCAATCTCCCCCATACCTCCCCATCCACCAGTGGGAAATCCCTTGAAGATGGCAGTCCATCAGTAATGATTTTCTGCTCAGCTGAGCGATAAAAGGTACACATGCACTCACTCTGCCTGGCTCTCTCCTTCTCTCTGTAAACCCCATCACCCATCCTTCAATGCATCTCATTAAAGTTTTAAAGTCAAACTAAGCCAGCACATCAGTGAATCCCTTTGTCCACCTACTTTAACCCTGCCAAACTCCACCTCATCCCTCCTTCATTTTCTCCTCTTATCTCACTCTGGCACTGTGGGAAATTAAGGAGAAGACAACTCGGCATTTCTTTATTTAGAAAATAATAAGCAGGCCGGGTTAGGCAACAAAAAAAGTACACGAAGAACAGGAGGAAGGAGGACGTGGTGAGAGTGAGCTGCATCATCTTTGGAGACTGCCAGGTCTCAGTGCAAGCTGGAGAGCAGGTTGATGTAAATGCAAGTCACAGCTGGCGTGTTTAATCTGGCTGGGAGGTTCTGGGACTATTCTCAATCAAATAGTTATTCTTGACCAAAACTGGCAGGATGACACTGAACACCAGCTGTATACTACATCTGGACTTAGTAAAGTCCCTCCCAGCATCACATAGTGCCTCTTCCTCCAAGGCCTGGAGTTTAAAGCAAGCCTCTAACTTTTGCTAAATCATGGTCATTGTAGCCACAGTGGACAATTATGGGACACTATTAAATTTTAAAGGTAGAGTAATAGTGGCACAAGTAGAGAAGAGTCATAAGGCTAGCAAACAGACTCAGTAATGTCAGTTACACAGCAACTATTATCTGTAGCAAACATTAGCAGCAACAGTTGTAGCAGCAAAACCCCTGAATGTACTGAATTGAATAGAGGTGTACTTTAGTGCTTATAAATTCACTTTTTTATTTTTAAAAGGAATAGTGTTGTTTCAAAGGTCACCTAGTCATACTTTAATTAAGGCTTTCAGACACCAGCTTTGTGCTTTTGGGGGAATCTATTTGATAGGGGGTCAGGATCCCAGTAGAGATGAATGGTGAGGGCCGTGTTTTTTCACACTTATGAAGCTCTGTCTGAAAGTGGCTGTAATGTTTTTATTTGTGTTTGTTGGTTTGTTCACAGCATAACTCAAAGTGTAATGAATGGATTTGGATGAAATGCTTTGAAGAGGTAGGATATGGCCCAATCCATTAGATTCAGATGCTCATCCGGATCATCATCAAGAACTAGGATATTTTAAAAGAATTCTTGACATTTGTAAGTGTTGAAAAGGCTGTTGACTGTATGTGAGAGCTGCTTAGCACTTGGAGTGAAGACGAGTGGAGCAAAAAATTGTAACAGGAGGCACACTGAACAACAAAATCTAAAGTGGACTGCGAAAAAAATTTATACTAATAATGAAAAAACTGTTATTGTAAATTAAATCTTATAATATTATACAATTGTACCATTTATTTCACACATGGCAGCAAACATATAAGTTTACTACTGAGTGTGTGCAGATTCTGTTCTTACCTAAGAACAAATCCCAGAGAAGAAAACATTGGTGAAAAATTCATAAATGGGTTTCACAAACACAAACCTGTTCTTAAGAACGACTGGTGAATGTGGCCCATTCTTATTTCATTCTGCAGGGGACATTTATTTAGCCATTTGTGGCATTTAGTAATCCCTCATGTCTACTGTTTTTCTTGAATAACTTCCAAAATAATGAAAACAATGTGACTCCAAATACTAGGGGTAGGTTGTCATGGTCATGGAATCATATCATGAGGGTCACTGTCATGTGAATATTGCTTTTAGATGTAGTGGCATGATAGGGACAGAGGCTTGTACTCTCTGAGCGCTGTCTAGTATCATTACACTTTTCCTTTCTGAGTGTAAATAAAGGTTGAATGAATAAATTAATCAATTGATAAAAGCTTGGTTTTCTCTTTTGAAGGTTTGATGTTCATTTAACATTTATGCTAAATGAGCTTAGTAAAGTCAGAGCTAATTGAGGAAGTCTCATGTATAACACATAAATATTACATGACTAAATGTCCCCTGGTTCATTACCGACCAACAAGGAAGATTCATTAATACAAACCACTGCAGGCCGCCTTTACTGTGTCTTTAATAGGGGGGATCAGACCGGAGACCATATTTTTCCTTGAATGCTACAACATCCATTTTTGGAGGCACAGGGTGTTAAGGAATAGCTCAGTCAACATTATCCAGCAGGCTTTTAGCAAGTTGTTCTTCGAAATGGGATGCTGGTAAGGGATATCAATATTAATGGCATAATACTGAGGCCTCATTATACTGAAGGTCATGGCAGGATGTGGATTTAGAGCACAGGAAGATAAACGGAACTCTTCAACATTCATGACAGAGGAGAAACATTCGGCTGGCTGTAGGACAACTCCTGAAGGCAACCTGTCATTCTCACTTAGACACTTACAAAAGTTAAAAGGTAGTTGAAATCATCCCTGTGACTTTTAGTGTGTGCGAATTGAATCCAGTCATTAAAATGTAAAAAACAATAGAGTTAAGTCATGATTTATGGCACCACAGAGATTTGGTACATCGCAGACAGAGACCGTACATGGGCAGATAGTGTAGTACATGGAAGATGAGGTGACAAAAGCTTACTGTACCTCATTATTCCACAATGAAATTAGGCCACATCCTGAATGTACCATCTGGATCACATATTTAAGATTTCCTCCATTCAACAACCCACATTTCACATTTTTAATGGGTAGCAAGAAGCTGTGTTGTGGCAGAGAGAAGGGAAAGAAAGTGTGAGAGAGACATTACCATCGGAGGGCGATCTTAATGGGTGTAGTGAGGCAGGAGGTGAAGAGATCAGCTGGGAGGTCGGGGTTCATGGGCAGGAGCTCGCTGGCCTCACAGGCAGCCAGCTGGATGCAGTTCTTCATGGAGGGAGGCAGGGGCATCTGGGCGAGTGGGTGACTCGGATTGATGGCCGCCACCTGAACGGAACATGGCAGAATTTGTTTACATTCATTTGGCTGCAATTTTCCAGATAAAGAAATATAGAATCTTAAATCTAATTTGTTGTGTGGCCACGATGCTCTGACCTGCCTGTGAAAATGAGCAATTGCTTGCAAATATCCATCTGGAAGAAGATTTTAAGCTGTAGAAGAAGCAGAAAGGAATCTCAGGAAGAACCTGGTTTTCAGACCGACAACACTGAATTATTTAACTGCTTCAAAGCCTGACCAATTGTCTGGGGAAATGAATGACTGAGGGACAGAGACAAACAGGGAGCAGGGTGACAGATTTCTTCACTTTAAAGAAGTGAGACTTGTTTGTGGGGAGTGTTTATGTCTGTCAGAGGACACAGCAGGCACAGACAAAGACAGCACCCCTGTGTAACAGCCTCATTTGTAGACACATATTCATTGAAATGAAGGTTTGAGTTAAGATGCAGGAAATGTTCCATTTGATGGCGCTGATTTCTTAGCGTTACTCTAGTTAGCTCTGGTACTATAGTGAATAGAAATTGAAGGGTAACAAACACAGAAACCTGGCATTGCAGCAATACTGAAGTAAGACAGCAACAGAAGCCAGATGAGAGGATGCTGAACTTGGGCTGAAGCCCAGATAAGACATGAGATTAAAGATCAGAGACAGACAAAAGAGCTGCAGCTCCGCACTGATGGAGAAAGAGAGATGCACCAAAGGAAAGGGACGAACATGCACAGAGATCAAAGACTAATCAGAGAGGAAATACAAAAAAGGAGAAATCTATGGCATTTTAGAAGAAAAAAAACCCTAAGTTTGTGTAAATGTCCATCAGTGGCAACAGGTGAAAGACCAGCTTTAGCACCGTTATCACCTACAGTACACAAGCCTGCTCCAACTGTTGTCGGCTGCTGGTGTTCAACAAATGTGGCGTCCCATCGTTACTCCATGTTTTATTAATTAATTTTAAATCCATTTAAAAGTATTGTATTTATTATAGGCTGACTCTTATCATCATGACAGAGCCATTTTTAAAATCTTCAAAAGCCGCTTTTGAAGCGTTTGCCCGCATTAAAAATTGAAACATGGAGTTTGGGGGACAAACTTTTATCACAAGCCCAAACAAACAAGGAGTTTAGTATGTTGCTTCTGTTATGGACAGCAGGCGATGAGTGATAAAAGTTGATTTTACCCATTTTATTTTTTGTTTTCTCTGTTACATACAGTAAAAACATGATGGTTTGCCACCTTGTACTTCCAGGCAAAACCTTATAATTGATGCCTTGTCTGAGACATTGTGAGAATACAATGATAAAGTGATAGTTTATTGATCCCAGTGAGGAAATTTTCCACTTCCTTGCCCCTTAGCAGGTGGTCTTCGATGGTAAACAATCCTCTTGTCTATTCTAAGAGCAGAATTAGCGTGTTATATCCACACACTGGGACAGCTCAGTCAATACTTGCAAACATGAAAAATGGAGGCAGCTTGCGTATGATGTAAAACTTTAATTATATCTGGAGCTCTTGACTATTTATGCGCTCATTGTGCTGTTGTACTGTTGATCTGTTTGCTGGGAGTTCAATATGGTTTCAGTCTTCTGCTGAGTAGACTTTAATGAGCTGTGGGTCTTAATGGAGGCAGCAATCCAAAACTTCCCTTTATCACAGCTGACTGCTATGGCTGTGCTTTCATTCTGCTTGCTTGGTATAAAAAAAACTGTTGAGAGAGATTATTATGTTATTATTATCATCTGTTATTCCAACAACGACTGTGCCATGCTGCTTGTAATTTTAAACTGACTTGATCAACAGTACCTTTATTCATCCAAATACGTTTATACACCAGCTCCACACCTGAGAATGTCCATGATCAGGAAGCTTATTGCTGGTGACAGTCTGTCGATGTCAGGCCACATTCTAGACTCTTCATAGTTTTAAAACTTTATAATAAAGTGCCTGAGGGTGTAGGTGGTCTCCAACTGCATCACAAGAGGTGGCTATCAAACCTTTTCTGTCAAGTCCCACTTGATTGTATTTTAACCCCCAACATACACCTGCTTAATCACACACCAATCATTTATTGTGATCTCCTATAAAGATGTCTGAAATTGACCTGAAACTTCATTCGATGAGTTTACTGAAGAGCCATGAGAAACATTCACAGTAAGGACCAAAATGAAAAAAACAACTGTTACTGTCAGAGAGGAAGAGACAGCAGAGGTGCTATATCAAGCCATTATATTTAGTGAAGCAGTTGTTTATAGAGATACACCAATCAATCGACAGATGGCCCGTTTCCCTGTGATCAACCTCGACCGGCGACCAGCCGATCACTCTGAGGTTTTCGATTTGTGTGCCAATCAGATTTAGAGGCACGACAGTTCACGTCGCACACACAGTGGTGCTGACCAAAAGCATAGCGCGTGCAGCTCATAGCATCTCACATCCATCTGGAAAGAAGATTGCACTCGTGTCTCTACCAGGCACATGTTCACTCACACTCTGGAAGCGCTTGGTGTACAAGCACCGCACTGAGGAGCCTATAGAAACACCTTGGAAAACTACATCCAAATCTCCATCAGATAGTACACAGTGAGAAAACTGGCTCCACCTGAAATGCATGCATATGTACAGTGTATCCAACCCACTGTAAATCACAGCAAATACAAACTATGCACGCTTCAAAAAGAACCGTGTGCTCAGTAGTAACAGACATTGTTCCATTTCTATTACCTGTTGCCCCTGTTTATATTTGGAGAAGTACAAATATTGCACTTCATTGTAAGTTAGAGGTTTGTTAAAAAAAAAAGGGGGGTTAGAGAAAGACGGAGATGTAAAGTTTAAATGTTTTATTGTTATTACCATTCAATTTTTCATTAAAGCTACAATATTGTCTCCATATTTTGTCAATTCTAATTCTTAGAAGAAAAAAAAATCAAACTGGCAGGGCAGATGTAAAAAAAAAAAAAAAAAAAAAATAAAAAAATGAAAAACGCCCCGAAAAATTGAAATCGGCCCAGAAAGCTGCAATCAGTGCATTGTTAACAATGTCACCTAGGAACTTATCGACTGCTAGACAAGATGCATCACAATATTCCCGATTTAGATCTTTATGACAGTGATTTATAGAATGACCACACTGTGTTTCTTTTACGGTATTTCAGAAGAGTATGTTGCAATTTTGGGAAAAGAAAAACGTGTGTTTTACAAGTTAGGAAAAGTTGTCTCTTATTCTCACGTTCCCTCTGAGTGCGAACCTTCGCCTGTCATTATTAATCTGTAAAATCAGGATAATGCACCACTTTTTCTGAGTGTGGTGGAAAATCAGTTTGCAAGCATTTGTCTTGTACAAAGTCCTGTTACTATTCCTGGTATAGTATTTGAGTTGGAGCATTTGTGTGTGATGCACTGATCATATACTGCACAACCAGCCTAGCTCGCTGTAAATAAGCATGATGTTATAAAGTGCAAACTGCTACTGTAAGACCTCTTGAAGCACTGCAGGCACCCACAACAGCTATGTACTGCAACAGAAAACGTTGCTTCAAGTGCTAAAACTCTTTCCGTGTTTGTAAACAATGAGAAGTCCAGAGGCACAGAGGCCGAGCAGGAGGAGTGGGTGTGAGAACTCTGTATAGTGCTAAAGCACTAAAAGCCCTAGAAATCAATTTATAGTGACAAACACACACACACAAGCATGAATACATGCAGGGACATACAGTATGAGACCATACAGGGCAGCGCACGGACAATCACAGGGGCACATAAAACACAGCAGAGCCACAAAACAACTTAAACACGAACAAAATCACAAATGCAGCTGGAATCCACCAGAGCTCCTGAAAGGAAACTACTCCTCGGGCCTGTCAGCTTGTTGTGCGCTGCGGATCTGAATCTGATGCAAGCTGGGATAAACCCACAGCATCTGACGCGAGCCCTGTAGGGGTGCGCTCGTCTTTCTGTGCCCGGAGGGCGAGAGGAGTCAATTAGAGGATGAGACCGGAAAACAAATACCGTACAACAAATGATCCACAGGCTGCCTGGGAAACATAACAAAAGAAGAAGAAAAGCACTACTCCTGCTGTTGGCTGCACAAACAACACAAAGCAAGCATTTTATTCAGCTGCCATGACCTGATTAAAATGCTCAACCCAGTTTCCAGTAAAGCTGAAAAGAGCAGGCTTTCGAGGCGACAGTGTAGATTTACAGTACGTAATGCCTTCCTGCTCCTGTATGTACGGAACATACTTCCTGCTCTCCATTACCCGACTCACTATGGTGGGAAAAAAGGCAGCAGATGAAGCTCAGATCAGATCAGTGGGAGTATTTACAGTACTGCTCTATAAGGATCTCTGTACACACATGAATAAATGATGATGTTAAAAATACAAAATCATAGTCTTAATTAGTGGGGGGCATGTCATAACGTGTAACTGGGCCTGTGTCCTTTTTTTCTGATCAACATGCATATTTTATTTCTAGTCGTAACGCTCGCAGGCATGAGTGGGTGCCGATTGTTGCTGTGTGGATGGATCTGTGCCAGTCTTCTTGTAACATAATTCCTCTTCTCTCTCTAATGAGGAAAACATCGACTCGCTGGCAGAGACAGATATCACCAACAAAGCTGTGCGCGTCTCTAAAACCTCTCATTATGTCAACTTAAGAACAACACTGTCTCCTGAAAGAAATGTGGAGTATGTGTGTGATGGTGCGCCACGATAATCTTAATGGTAAATACAGCAATACTGCCAGCAGAAGCTGATTAATGCCAAGCAACCACTATAATTATCACATTAGCATATTGTAATCTCACAAATTACCATGAAAATCACCATGACAGGTTTCTTTTCTTTCTTTGCCACTGGGGATTGGTGATTTGTTTGTTTTTTTGTGACACTGAAGCCGAGCAGACATTGTATGGATTGTTAGACCTGATTCAGTTGCGTCCGACTCGTTTCAGAATCAGGCCGAACCAACAATCTGTCTGCTGAGCACTCAGATGGATTTCTGGCATGTCAGAAATCTGGTCAGCTGTCTTGCAGATCCACGGGCTGAAGTTAGTTCAGTGCACTTACATGAGTACAAAGACAACAACATAACATGTCACAGATGAGATTTCACATGTTGTGGACAGAATCTACTGTCGGGGCCATAGACTGCATCTATTTAAACGGTATATGGACGAGGCTAATCGAGCTCTGGCAGCGCCACACTGTACAATGTCATCAAAACATTGTCACGATCTGCAGCTTAAATAATAAGACTAATCGCAGAGGAGGAGGGGAATTTTATGGCAGAGGAGCACATCCATGCTCTAGTCAAGGTAACTCTAGTCAAGCAATACATTTTCTGTGCATTAATTATTCATTAAAATCGTAGAAGGAGCTGGTGTAGGCCTAATGTGAGCATCCTGGAAATGCTGGCAACACAAACACCTAACCCATAACACACACACAAGCTCTCACGGTCCAGTGTGTCCTCAGCTTGGAGTGCTGCCGTGAATCTCTTCAAAGGTCTGGTACACACTCAATGTTGGTCTCTCTAGAGTTGTGAGGACACTATCGCTACCTTAAACCCAGTTCTAACCTGAACCTAAAACCATGTCCCAATACTCAAACAGTCCTTTGAAGTTGTCCTCACAACAATGGCATCAAACTAAAATTAGTCAACACAGCTACAGAAAGACAAGTACACACACTCCACATGGGGACATTCTTTTCCTGGACACTCACCCCAACCTCACCCTGGGATTCAGTGGCAGGGCACGGCATCTGGTGCCAACAAAGAAGGCCGAGTCCCCACACCGTGAGTGTGTAAACCGGTGTCTGTCCTCACAGTGAGAGTAATACCAGGTGCGTGTGCACACATACACACCTCTTTCCACCCCACAGCTAATGCAGTGAGCATGCTTGCTGAGTGCATGCAGGAAGTGATGAGATATTTAAAAGGAAGCAGGTGGCCTTATAATAGAGCACTCAGAGCAGACACCCACCCACATACACACACACACAGTGGCTGACTGACTGGGCTGTAGGAGGAGGTCGATGTGGTGCTGAGGAGGAGTGATAAAACACCTCCTCCCTTCATATCTGATCTTCACTTGTCTTCTTCATGCTCTCATCTGCACCCCAGCATCTCCAAATAATAGCCTACAGTCCCTGGTGAGATCAGGCCTGTCATGCCATGTGAAACAGTGGTGTGTTTATAAAAAGGGGTGCGTGTAGCTGTTGTGCGATTCCACTTGGGACCACCCACGTGCATGCACAGAGTGTCACAGCAGAGGGATAGGGCTGCAGGAATAGGTGAGTGAGGTAGGGGACGCCCCACGTAGATCGTCTCCTGCATGATTAAAAAGCCTCTGGAAGTCATCACCTCTCTCTTTATCATACATTACCCCCCATTTTACACTTTCTGCTCTCAGGTGGTGCTTATGGACATTACGCAACGTCCCCTGCATGTCACTTAGGGATTTTCTCACTTTATTTCCCCACTGCATCACTCTGCTAAATCCTGAAGCTCCCACCATTACTGAACTAATATCTCCAGAGTACATGTTGTACCTTGCTATGAGTAAAATATTGCCTCCAAAAATGACTGAGCAAGTATTTGTCTATTCTTGCATCAACATCTCTCAGCTTGCAATGACCACAATCACTTCACAAGTTTGACAAAGATTACACTCAAATGACAACAGGCAGCAGCAGCAGCTAAGAATCTGACATTGGCTGTAGCCTTGGGAGGACCCCGAGTGGTGCCCCCCTTGGTATTGTTGCTTTTTGTATAAACATTTTCTATGTAGTGAAATACCTAAGCTCACTTTGAGAAATATTCAGCCAAAAACCTTGACTGTCACTGTTCTGCCATCTTTATATTCCACTGCTAGGTCTGGTTCTTGGACACTAGTTCTTCTCCTTAAAAAGCCTTGTGTGCCAAAGGATGTGTTATTAATCAAATCAAATCAAACTTTATTTATATAGCACATTTAAAAACAATGAGTTTTACCAAACTGCTTCACAAGCATCTAATTAACGCATACAAATTAAAACACCAGAAACATAGTAGAAAACATCACAACTAAATACAAACAAATTAAAACAGCACAGCACAAGCAGAAACCAGGAGATTAGCTGGTTTCTGTTGTTAGTAAATGTGTCTCACTATGATTATAAGGCAAAAGCCAGTGTAACTAAGTGGGTTTTAAGCAGTGATTTGAAAGATTCCAAGTCTGATACCGAGCTAATATTTATAGGTAAGCTATTCCAGAGCGTCGGGTAGGCTATTGGTTAAGGTGCAGCGCTCGCTGCTGCGCCCAGGGTTCAAATCACGGTTACGTCAGGAAGGGCATCCGGTGTAAAACACTTGCCAAATGTCAGCATGCGAGTCGTCAGTGTGACGATTTGTTGTGGCGACTTGCTGTGGCGACCCCTAAACGGGAAAAGCCGAAAGTGACTTTCTTTCTTTCTATTCCAGAGCTTCAGGGCTGTCAGCATAGACTTCGACTTGGGGACCCCCCAGGAGCAGCTGTTCTGAAGATCTTAATGACTGTACTGACTGTGACAGGTAATGGGGTGCCAGACCATTCAGAGCTCTAAAAACAAACAGCAGTATTTTAAAGTCAATCCTACAACAGACTGGGAGCCAATGTAGTGAAGAAAGGACTGGAGCAATATGAACCTGTTTACATGTGCCTCTTAAAAGACAAGTCACTGCATTCTGGACCAAGATGTAATACAGAGGCCTGATTAGTACAAATATAGAGGGTGTTACAATAATACAACCTTGACCTAATAAAGACATGGACTGCTCTTTCAAAGTCTCTAAAAGAAAGGAAAGGTTTTACTTTTGACAGAAGTCTCAATTGAAAGAAACGTGCTTTAACCACTGAGCTGTTTGTTTGTCAAAACTAAAAATGCTATCACTAATCAGCCCAAAGTTTTAGCTGTGGTCTTTAGATTTGACAGAAATAATGACTGAACACAATAGTAGACAAAAATAATGTAGAAAACCAAAGACAATCCACATTCAGTTCAGGACAACTTTGAATTTTTGGACGATTCTGGGAGAACTGTGAAAATAGGTAAGAGTCCTGCATTGTTGTCTTTGAAATTTTAATTGTATCGTGATTGAATCGAATTGTACACACCATATCATGGCTTAAATCATATCGTTCCATCCGTAGTGAAGACCCAATGAAAGCAGATAAATCACGCACCATCGCCTCCGCCACTTCTTACTCATCACTGTGGGCGTGTTGATGCAGGGTGATACAGTGACATGTGACAACAGTCTTATTTGTAACAGTAAATGTGTACACGCCAGCCTGTTAACATGTCTTTGTCTGTGTAGTTACAGTAACTCATCACTTTATCTGACAAATTCTAAAACTTGTGCCAAGCTGCATTTATCTTCTCTTTGTCAGTGTAATCTAGAAGCAGGGGTCATCTAGGAGAGACTGCAACTATTATTCTCTCATCCACAGAGGTTTTACTATCACCTGTCTAAACAAGCCATTTCATCAGTTTTCACCGTGTCACCTCCTGCTGCGCCTTCATTTGCATAAAGTAAAAAATGTTTCATTTCTGACCCCTCCCCTTAGGTCGCTTCGTAAGCCCTTTTCACCTCACCTGGAATTCCATAATGCTTTGCGAAGGGACTTGTTCGTGTCTCACTGAAAATGAATAGAGACTAATTTTCTGTGTGTATGAGCACAGATTTCATGTACTGTTGATACTACTATTGTAGTACCATACATTTCTTGCAGGTGGTGTAAATGTTAAACTTGGGATGATTTTTTTCTACTTCTCTTCTACTGAAGTATGCCGTTACTTGCCTTTACTATAAGTTGTAGAACTGGTCATAATATTATTATGAACAGCAGAATTGTGCTTCTCTGAAATCTGTGTAAATGCCACTTCAGACCTGCACAGAGAAGGGTGGAACGGGTGACCAGGGGTCACAGACGCTCCAGAGAAGCTGACATGCACACCCTCCAAATCTCAACAACAAGTCGTGTGGACCTGTGCATCAAGTATACAAGTATGTACACACAGTACATGTACGTACAAGTATAAAGGGAACTGCTATGTTGTGCTGCACATACAGTAGGCACACCTGCACTGAAGCTACAGCCCTGCATGACATCTGCAAATTTAAGCAGAAAAAGCTGGAGCGGCTGGGGATGGAGAGACACTTATGACAAGTTCCGACAAACACGGCAGCGACTCAGCAGTTTGGCTGCTGCCTTCATGAGTAGCATAGCGTTCACAGCAGCTCTTCTTTTCTCTAAGTCTCATTTCTCTGCTCCGTACTCTTCATCCTGTACCTCTCTCTCCCTCTCTCATTTTCTAGCTGATCTACAGTCTGGCTGAAACTTCTCCATGAATAATTGAGATGAATGACAGTGCCATCTCATTAGGAATTCACATAGCATGCCATAGCCGGGAGAGAGAAAACTTCATAAAAAGATGATGCAGCGACAGGGCTGAGCCGGATAGTGGTGTGTATCTGCACTGTTTGTGTGCGAGGGTTATGTGTGCCCAAGACTAAACCAAAACCCCTCATTTAAAGGCAGCTGCCCCTCTGATCACTGGATCACAGCACTGAAGACATCCTGGAATTTGATTAGAGAGGATTCAAGCTGCGAGTCATGACTCACTGACACCGCTTAGGCCTGCTTTAGAAATACTGTATATCTGAGTATGTGTGTGAGAGAGTGTGGGTGTGCATATGTGTGAGTAATTTGTGGTGTGTGATAAATCAGCCACTTTGCCACTAATAACTCATAAATAACAAAGGATCATTTACTCTGTTTGCCTGAACACAAACTGTGTGTGTTTGCATGACTCACCTATTCTTTGAAAAGTTTTTTTTTTCCCAATTACAAACCTACTACTAATTCACGGCTGCTGTGTTGTGACATGCCGTAAACCATGAGTGTATTAGTCTGTGCAGCTGCCCACCTCCAGCTCCTGTTCTCTCTGTAGGGCGAACTGTTTGAACGACTTCACAATGATTCCTGCGTTGGAGCAGTCGTAGACAAAAATGGACGGGCTCCCCATCCACGTCTGTAGGTCGTAAATGGACAGCGGGATGTACTGGGTGTAGTTCTAAGGAAAAAAAACAGAGAGAGAAGATGTTAGAGTGAGAAATGAGAGATGGGGCATCGTGTTATTGCTGATAACTCACTTTTATAGATTTGTGTTTAATTATTAACTGGTCATCTGCTTGATGAAGAGTGTAAGCAGAGGAGAGGGCAGTTGAAAAGAGACCATTATAATGAGGGAGACCGAGAAAGAGAGAAAAATGAGAATACTTGCAATAATAAATCTTAGAAAGTTTTGTTCTACATGACCAACTACTACTCCAGGCATTGCTTCAACACAAAAAACCAACTGATCTCCTCTTTCAGCAATGGCCACAGCAACTACATTTTATAGGAAAAGGGATCAAATGTGAAATAAAAGGCAAAGAACAGAGGAGGTGTAGAAGGTATAAGGCCCCATGGTGCATTGGGGACGTGGAGGCTACATCTCTAGCCCAGACAGCAGACGGTGCATCATTGTGAGTGGTTGCTTACTCTGAGGACAAGGTAGTGAACAAGATTTTGTCTGATTCGTAAGTCAGAGGTGCGCTCCAGCCGGTCATTATGAACGGCTGATCTGACACCAAACCCAGATGCACACAGGTGCACAAAATAACACGACAGCAGCTCATGAGCCATGATAAATAAAACCCTGCATGTCCCAGCCAACCATGCTACAGGCATTAGTGGCAGCAGGTAAAGTCCATTTGTGCGCTGACTGCACCCTGAACTGCTACCACTTCCAGTGGCGATGATTTCGATTACACAATTACAATGTCTTAAAAAAAAATCAAAGCTCAGAAGATACATGCTACCTTTGTACTATCACAGGGATGCAGAGTGCCTATAATTTTTCATTTTATGACAGTTTAATCCCAACAAAAGCAGCTGTGGGCGTTCTGGGTGACGATCACTTTTGATATAACACCATAAATAGAGTGATCGCCAAATATTATTGTTTTTTTTTTGTTTTTTTTACAACAATCAAATGTAAATTTACTTGGAAATAAATTATACTGTGTATAAAAATTGAAAATGATTAGGAGCATTTCTGAGACCCCCCCTTGAAATGTCACTGAGCTGTTCAGGGGGTCCGAAACCCAATGAGACCCCTGTATTAATAACATATGAATTATGCTGCGATTTCGTGTTTTGCTTCGGTAAGGTTGAGGTGCTCAAGAGACTCTAGAGTCATTAAAGAAAGAACTGAAGCAACAGATGCTGAGTCATCCTGACTTAGTCTTAGTATGGGTCAAACTCAAAAACGCTGGCTCCTACAGAATTGATAGTGCCTATAGATGCCCCCGTATCCAATAACCTCCTGTGTCCATCTAGTTTGAAACAGGCCTTCTATGTCTGAAACTGAGAATAAGCTTGAAGACATCATCGAGGATCTTGACTCTGACTTGTCCAGGCTCGTCCAGAGCCACAGAACATGTTGTACAACTGTTTTCACAGGCTGAGTAGTATTTTGCCTGATGAGTAAGCTGGTCTTGATGTGGCAAAAATATGTCCCTTTTATTTCCAAATGGTTTAAAAGAAAAAAGTGGAAAAACAAGCAAAGACGAAAACACAACACATTGTTGTTTCTTTCTCTATCTTCTGTTACAGTTCTATACAACACTGTTGGACTCAATGAAAGACAGTTCAAGTATCAAGCCTCTCGCTTCAAACTGAGATGACGAGCATGCTCCAGAGGTCTGGACAGCTCATCTCTTTCCAACTTCATCCTCCCAGACTATCAGCCCCAACTGATGCCGACTTATGTGTCATCACTGGAGGCAGTTTATCAGATGTCATAAAGCTCCCTCTTTAGCCACGAAAGGCTCTACACAACTGTTTTTTCCCCTTATAATTGTAGACATACTGCATCACCTGGGAGCTTTAATGTGCAAAATCAGTGGAGGTCCCCTTTAATCATCACTCCCACACAGTGGCAGCTTACAAAGAACAAGGTAGTGAGTGTGTTGCTGTCTTACTATGTAAACTGTAAAAGCAATAATAACAATTTAAAAAAAGTACATTTCACACTATGCAGTCTGTTTAATCTGTTATTGGTTCTATTTGCCTAATCTTCAAAATTCATCAGATGAGGTACAAAAGAGCTGAAGGAACCTTCGATTCTTTGACAGGTTTTAATAAAAATCATGCAATAAATGTTATAAACACATCAACTCATGTAGAAGAGGAGACAGAAATTGCATGTTATGTGAAATTTCACATGCTGGGATTACCAGCTCCAGTATAGACAACAAGGCTTCCTTGGAACCTTGTTTTAGTAAAGGTCTAGAACTCTATGGTGAGTTTATGTGAAGATGAGAAAATGCTTCCTGTTTGTGCACGGTACCTTATTAAAAACCCAGATCTCTCCATTAACAGTAGGTCGTGGCACACCGTGACCATTGTAGTGGAAGAGGACTCGCTCCTCCTTGGCGTTGCGTCTCAGCGACGTGCACAGCTTCTTCACCTCGTCCACTGTGGGGTCCAGACTCTGCTTGTAACGTGCCTGAAAAACAAGACACAATAGCATTTTACCGATACTTCAGAAGAGCACTGGTTGACTCGGGTAAGGCAAAGCAAATATTCTGCATTACCCAATCGCTGTGAATGGGAATCACTGCTTTGTAAATTACATGAGATTTAAAATGCATGAAGAATATTGGCAATGACCTATTTCAGCTCAAACTCCTTAATGTGACGGCAATAATGAAAAACTATACTTCCGATAGGGCTTAACATACACACACACACACACCATCACACAACATTAATCATGCCTGTAGAGAGATGCTAAGAGAAGACCAAGCATTACATCCCTATTTATCATGTTAAATAAAGCAAAACCTGTTGGTACTGGTGGGGTTTAAATGTATGTATCACAGAGCAAACAATACCCTTAGGAAAGAGAGATATCTGTAAAGATACACAGAGATGTCCATCTGTGAGGCTGGATGGCCATGTAGGGAGTCATCCTGCTGGTTGTATTCACATATTTCTTTATGATGTGAGCATCACAAAATAAAGTATGAGTCAGAGCGATCCAACAGTGACTTACATGAACAAGACTCACCGCTTTCTTGTTTACAAACATTTGTATGGTTGACAACAAGTAAACCCAGAGTCCCACCAACTTTCTTTGAGGACAATGAAATGCCATGATTTATATTTTAGCTGTCAGAAATCAAAACAGCTCAACATGTCAGGCAGCCCTCCATTCAACAAAGAAACACCTGTAATTTTAAGGAAATGCCAAATAACACAGAAGAAAGCAAATTTTAAAAAAGAAAAGGTGCAGTGTACTGACAGATGAGGGCACAAAATATAAATAAATATATAAACTATATACACTATATGGACAAAAGTATTGGGATGCCTGACCATTAAACCCACAGGGACCTTAATAGCACTGGTACCCCTTTTGCTTTCCACAAGATTTTGGAGTGTTTCTGTAGGAATTTGTGCCCATTCATTCTGTAGAGCATTCACTAGGTCAGGCACTGATGTTGGTCAAGAAGCGCCGTTCCAGTTCATTCCAAAGGTGTTTGATGGGGTTGAGGTCAGGGCTCAGTGCAGGCCAGCCAAGTTCCACACTGAACTTATCCAACAATGTCTTTATGGACCTTACTTTGTGCACTTTGGCACAGTCATGCTGGAACAGAAAAGGGCCTTCCCCAAACAATGTTGTTCAAAGTCATTTGGTATGCTGACGCATTAAGCTTGCCCTTCACCGGAAGCCTAAATCCCGAAAAACATCCCCATACCATTATCCCTCCTCCACCAAACTTCACAGTTGGCACAAAGCAGTCAGGCAGGTAATGTTCTCTCGGTATCTGCTAAACCCAGAATCACCCAGGTGACTGTTAAACAAAGAAGCATGATTCTTTGCTCCACAGAACACGTCTCCACTGCTCCACAGTCCGGTGGCAGTGTGCTTTACACCAGTCCATCTGATGCTCAGCCATGGAAACCCATCCAATGAAGCTCCCGCTGCACAGCTTCTGTGCTTAAATTAATGCCAGTGGAAGTTCAGAACTCTTCAGCTATAGAATCAGCAGACTGTTGGTGACTTTTACGCACCATGCACCTCAGCAGTCACTGACCCCACTGTGTGGCTTTGTGGTCTTCTGCTTCATAGCGTAGTTGCTATTGCTCCTAAATGCTTCCACTTTCCAGTAATACCCTTACATTTGGCCATGGAATATGCAGCAGGGATAAAATTTCACGAACTGTCTTATTGTAAAGCTGGCATCCTATCAACGTAGCACACTTGAAGTTACTGAGCTTTTCAGAATGACCCATTTTGTTTCACATATGTTTGCAAATGGAGACTGCGTGGCTAGGCGCATGATTCTATACACCTGTGGCAATGAGTCTGAATTCAATAAATAAGAGGCGTGTCACAATACTTTTGCCCACATAAAGTATTTTCGCTCCTGCAGAACAACTGACACTGTACAAACATAATGGAATGCATATTTGTTATTATTAACAATAATAAAATGTAACAAAATAAGACAAGTTAATGTTTTTCTCTTTTCATTGACAGTGAAACAACTAAATTCAACAGCCTTGAACCAGATCTGTGGCTGTAGCACCAGAAAGGACACAAAGGTAAAACCTAAATAAATGAGTGGAGAAACATAACAAATATGACAGTTCATAAGGAATTAATATCCTGTCATGTACAAAAATAGTAAAAAGCAAAACTGTGGCACAAGATGTTAGGAGGGAAAAAATGTAGGTGATTTCATCCTGTGATGAATCATTCCGACTTTGACGGAGTGGTGTTCTCCGACTTAAAAATGCTACCTACTCACAGGCTCCAGATGAGGAAACACCTTTTGGAAGAGTGCTATTCATCCCTTCAAAAGAGTTTCACAAGCTGTTAGAATCTAGGGCAACACTGAAACTGCTCTGGAGGTTGGTGGCACAACACCTAAGATAAGTGAGTTATGCTGGTTTTGTGTGTGTTTACCAGGGTATTCATTTGATGAGACAAATGCCACAAAAGTGAGATGCAATTTCTGGGTAAACAAAGAAGCTTTTACATTTCTGAGTGTGAACCTTAAACAAGCTGTTGATTGTATAAAGAGTTCAAAAAAACTACGAAACACGGTAGCAGATCTGCAAACCTCATTTGCAATACTGTTTCACAAATCAGACACAGCAGTGCTTTTAGAGTTAATTCACAATGAAACACTAGAGGTATATATTTTACACACAAACATACTAAACACACAGAATGCTCCGCTACAGATGCTGTTACTGTTGCTTTATTGTTGTCAACTCTTAACTTTTGATCATACTTCACCAGCCACAGCGATTTTACAAGCGTGCACTCAGCATGTTGCTCATTCCTATACCGGTGTGTACACGCAGGGCGGACGAGCTGCTTGAGGAGCTTAAAGAAATAACAGTATGAGACAGCCATGTGCATTGTTTGTGCTTCTGCAGTTCATTAAATAAATCGTTTATGTGTGCGTGGATGGAAGAGACAGAGGTGTCAACTCGTTATGCAACAGAAAAGCACCCGGTTAGACCATTCTGAATCATTATCACACTCACCAAGGCCCTTCTGTTACATAACTAACATGCCTTTTACCAAACAGCCTGCCTCCTGTCAAATGGCAGAATCACAGGAGAAGTCATGTTTTAACCTCAACTTCTCACAAAACCTTTAACTTCTAACTAATGAGAAACAGCAAGCCAAATCTTGACCATGTGAGAAGTGGGAGGACAGTCTACTAGGGGTGTAACGGTACATGTATTCATACCAAATGCACTCTTTTACAGTAGTTAGCAGCACACTTGGTTTTGCATATGAATATTTTTCTTTTTTTTTTTCTAAATCCACATTGCCAGGCAAACATATTAAGTGATGAACCCGAGCACAGTAAACGGTACATTTAGCTCAGCCATGCCTCTGGTTTGCAAACATCATTGCTGCAAGAAAAGAATGAGCGTAGTACAAATGCTGCTTCCTTCATCATTTAAACAGCCTTTCCCTGGTTATTGGAGCACATAAATTAAATTTCAGCAAAGCAAACATTAACTTTTTTAATTACAGTGAACATTAATCTGCATTGTCTGCTCCTTAACAGTGAAATAATTGGCCATAGCATCTACGCCAATGACATGGCAAAAGTTTTACGATGGTCAGTCTATAAATGCAATCATTTACTAAGATCATATTTACTGTAATAATGACAATGTAATAACAATAAATACATCCAGGACAGAATTGTTCATTACATCACACATCCTACAGGGGTCAAACTGAATAGGCTTTGATCAAAGATGCCACATTTCAAGCTTCCCATACCTGGACGAGCTTGAATTGCAGTATGATAGCAGAGCTGGCAGGCTGATTCAATTGGGTATAATCAGATAAGAGTGCCTGAATGCCAAGAGGCAGAGCACTCATCCCGATGATATCAAATGGTATCTGAATGGCATAATGGTGTTAGCAAGGGACCTGCAGAAATGGAGGTGTAATGTCTGAACTCAGAGGGCATATAGGAAAGAGGGGTGGCATTTTAGAGTTAAGTGCTGAATAATGAGGAAAAGAAAGAGAAGGAGGAAACAAGCAGGGGGACAAGTGTTTACCTGCTTGTAGCTGTTCATTCAAACGATTCCCAATTGTGTTTAGATACTTTAGCAAAGCTGTTCATTTACATTCATGACAGTCAGGCATATTAAATTAAAGTGGCATAGAGAGATTAACAAACATTCATATGTATGAGGAAGACACCTAGGAGAGCCCATTTAAATATACACATCAGAATATTCTGGCAGAAGGAGGTGTGTGTGTGTGCGTGTGTGTATGTCTACATATATTTTGTATGCCCAGTTGTATGAGGGCCGGTTTGAATTTTATACCATGGGCTATCTGTCAAACTTGACTCATCTCCTAACATAAAACACCTTGACCTGAAGGGGGAGCTCCAGCTCCCTATGAGGACCAAGGTCAAGGTCAAGTCAAGAATATTTATTGTCATTATGCATAGCACAACAAATTTTTTACCGGCAGCTCTTGGCTTAAAAGAGCTGTCCCTGGTAGGCTAGTGGTTAAGGTGCAGCGCTCTCGTCGCGGCGACCTGGGTTTGAATCAGGGTTGCGTCAGGAAGGGGATCCGGCGTAAAACACGTGCCAAATGTCAACATGGCTCAGTGCAAATCTCAGTCTTTAGGAAGAGGTGTGAGCATGGGTGTGTGTCTGCAGAGGGCCAGTGTTCTGTCTGTGTCTGTCCATAGGGGGGAGGTTATGTGTGTGTGTGTGTGTGTGTGTGAGAGAGACTAGGGGTTAGGGGGTGATTGATTTCACAGCTCTGGGGAAGAAGCTGTGTCTCAGTCTGTTTGTTTGAGTCTTTATCTGTACCTTTTCCTGGAGGGAAACAGACTCTTGCCTGTGTGGGTGGCAACTGCAGCAAAACTTGTCTGAGATGAGACCCACTATGGTGGTGTCATCTGCGAACTTCACAACTGTATTTGTGGAGTAAATGGCATC